TGAGACTTCTTGATTTGGGAAAATCCGGTAGCTTCATCATCTTGCCGGTTCCACGGATCCACAAGTGGCCTATTGCTAGTGCCAGTATTTGTTTATCAGAACTCGGTATCAGCGCTTTGGGTTTTGCTATCTGTAGCCCGCATCTCACTATCTGTAGTTGCTCTAAATTGCTCAATTTCATTTTCATCCCTGGTGTGGAAATGCTTCCCTAGTTTGGCTGAAGCACTAGGAAAGGTGGGTGGTAGCATTGTGGCTACATCACAATAAGAATAAAACCTGAGGTCATATCCTGATAGCAATAAAACTAAGGTGTTTGGTATGCCATAAAAATAGTGGTGCTATCTCAAGTTGATTTACAATAATAATACAATTTAGTTGCATCTTTCTAAAATAGAAAATCAAACTAATTCCCAGTCACTAGTTATTGTCACTTGTTGCTTTCAATCTCTATGGTCCAGGAGGGACCTATGTTTTTCAGATCCATGCCAACCATAAAGCTCAGTGTGCATGACTAAATTAATCAGTTTAAACAACATGGATGCCATGAGAATAAACTGTGGGACACCTTCAAAGTACATTGCCGGAGGCTCAGTGGAGGTCAGATGCAAATGTGCCAAGTGAATACATTAATGCTTCCAATTCCTTATGCCTGTGTTCCTTTCCTCTGAACTAGTGTATCATAAGCATTCAGTGAGAACTGAGACCCACTGAAGTGTATTCAAAGACTATTTCATTATTTCTTTAAAGCATTCCATATTCTATTTCCATCCCATTGACATTGTTTTGCCAAAAGGATCAATAGCTAATTACATTAAGTTCATATCCTTCATTAACCCATTTGCAAAACAACATACTGAAGACATCTCTCTCAGGTCCTGCTCTCCTCTAGATTAGAAAAATATTCACATGCTGCTCTTTTGGCAGGATATACATGGCAAGGAGCAACTACAAATCAGTTTCTGGTATGCATTGCAGAATTATATGCAATGTTGACATAATTTTTAACACCAATTTTGCATACCCATGACTCAGCTATTCTTTTAAGGTGGCATAACCTGAAATATAAATGAACACAAAGGATCCAAATCCTATCATTCTAAATGCTTAGCTTGAATTTTAAGTTACCTCAATATTGGAAATGTAGGGGGATGAAGGAACGTTTCATTTGTGCGGTCAACATTGTTATGGGAGGATGCTTCATTTTGTCTGTCCGTGGATGAATCTCCTTAAGGACACAATTGATAGCTCCCCTCAAACTGGAAATTCTAAACTGTAGCAATTAGTAGAGAATAGTATCTTTATTAGAGAATGCATAATCATTTGTTCAACATTTGCATTTAAAAGTATTTTTCAAGGATGAATTCCTTTTCTGTCACTTTTTCTTCAGATAGAGATAGTCAGATAGTTTATTTTCACTCCACAACACTTATGCATACATTTATTCATAAGGAAATTTCATCTTTGCTGATTTTTTTTTAAATTCTGGAAAAAAAATCCATGCTTAAAGATTTTTAATGGTATTTATTTCTCATTCTGAAGCATTGCTTCTCCAAATAAGTATTTCAAAATATGTTTCAGCATGCTTTTGAGGCAACAACTGAATCATAAAGTCCACTGTAGTACATAATAGAGGGATAACTATGTTTCAAACAGCATTTTAGTCTGGGAGATGTGAATCACATCTATTCATATTGGAATTTGTGAAAATCAATTTTCTCAAGCATCTTTACCTCGGGTTAGGCACATTCATTCTAAAATACAATAGTTTTACTCTTTTGTGTTGTTATATTAACTTCCAAAAAATATTTTTAGTAGGTGGACCAAAAGCTAGGTAGAACAGGGACCATTTCTCTGTTTAGGAGTTCTAAACAGAGAATACTGCATATACTTGTGTATAGATTAGCTTCATGTATAAGTCAAGGGCATGTTTTTTTTTTAAAAAAAAATATTTATTTACAGCATTTTTATCCCGCTCTTTCAGCCCGAAGGTGACTCAGGATGGTGTACAGATTGGCAACAATTAGATGCCATAAACATGCATACATACATACATTCATATCAATTAAAAACATTTAATATCACAGAATAAAAATCCGTATAAAAACCAATTAAAACTATAATAATTAATGTCTACCAGTTCAACTCCTTATCCATTTGCATAGTTTTTGGGATAGAATTATGGATTTTGATATGAACCATGGATATGTTGAGGGTCATTCTGTGGAGAAAAGAGAGCACTAGTGTCATCTCCTCTCTGGCATTCAAAAAGAGATAGTACAAGGGGGAGAGAGTACAAAGGGATTTGCTCTATTTTTTTTGGTTCTCCTAGGACCAACTATGCTCTTACCATTTGCCACTCATAAAGGAGGATGGTTCCTTTTTTGAAGAAAAAGTTAAGGCAGAGTACTTACATTGACTCATAGAAATGCCAAGCTGTTTTTGAGGTTGATTTTGTGACTAGAATTTCTTAAGATATACATTAATATATACAGTGTGTGTGTGTGTGTGTATATATATATATATATAATTCATACACTACCTGAATATGTGCAAGATGGAGGAAAGTTGACTTCATCCAAGTGGGTGCTTGGTGTAGCGACTAGCCAGGATAGCCTCATTGTGCATTCATTCAATCCAGAGAAGTAATTACATTATTTTTAAAATGCTGCTGTTGTTGCTTTTTAAAGCACACTCCCATGAACATATGGTATTTGTCATAAAAATGGAAAAACATGCAAACTAAAATGTAATGGAGGTGTGGTTGCTGCTGAGAAACCAAATCGTATGCGTGCCTTTCTACACGGGACACTGCAAAATGCTACCAGATGTTTACCATTGAATTAACTAAGCTATGAAAAAGTTGTGGTATTATTTTTTCTTTTCAAAATTGGACTGATACATGTGAGAACTATTTCATTCAAACCAAGTCCTTGAGATGAAAAACTGTGTTCATAATTTCAAAATAATATTTCATTTATGTATCATGACAGGATAGTGAATCCTAGGGTTTATTAGGGGAGGGTGTCCTAGGTACTACACTGTCCCTTTCAAAGATGAAACTGAAAAGCAGACATGGACCTCATCTTCATCTACAAATGGACACAAAACCAGAGTAAGTGCACATAATTGCCCTCGAGAAACAGGGTACAACAAAAACAACCACCGAAAAAGCTCTCATTGCTCCTCCAATTCAGTATGTGAAACAACCACTGAGCATGTGGAATAGGAGTATGTGGAATATTTTTAGTAGGATCAATTATGAAGGCATAGAAGTTTGCACGTTTTTTGCTTCTCCATCTTCATCAAGTTACATAGTAAAAGAAGCAAGAGGAGAAATTGGAGCTTCAGAAAAAAAATTAAGAAGTGCACTTGATTAAAAGTCAATTGAAGCAAAATTGCAAGTATTAGTGAGAGATTAATATGATTCCTCTTCAAGTTCATGAATCTGTTGGAGTTATGTTTCTGACCTTACAATGGAGACAGGAAACAAGGATTTATCTGTATCCACATTCGAAGTATCCAAGGAAATTAGGTAGATCCCATCAACTTTAAGCTTCTGGCAGACCTACAAAACTGTGATGTTCCATATAACCTTTGCTATTTGAAATGGTTCCGTTTTAACTATTTAAAACTTTTATCTTGGAATTGCTTTTAGACTGATTTTTAAAGTTTTTTTTTAAAAAAATGTTTTCATTTTTTTTCAGACATCCTTATAGATTGGAGGTAAAATATAAAAACCTTTAATAAATAAACAATCATATGGGGCTTTTTATACTAAGTCAGACCACTGGTATATCTTGATCTTTATTGCTTCTACTGACTATAATCTGATGTCTTACCTGGAAAAGATACTATGAGTTTAATTTGAAACCCTCTGAACATGTATACTGAAATTGAACAGCAACCCATTTCCCATGGCCCTCTACCATGAAGCTTTGTGCCCCAACTCTATTTCTTTACATTTGTGCATTGGATTATCAGTGGGGGAAAGGAGGGGGAAGATTTCTGGGCTTTTTTATTCTGCCCCAATTTCAACAAATCCCAAGAGTTCCAGAATTCCATTTCCTAATCTTATTATTTTTGGGCACAGAGTTTATATCAGTGTTAAATTTCAGCACATTCAGAATTGCTTCACAGTAATGTAATCACTCTATAGGGAGGGATACCAAATCAGTTGACTGTCTCTTGTGCACTAGCTTTGTTCCCAAGAAAAAGCATTGGCTAGCAAGTGAGCTCATTATGTTCTGATTCTTTCAGCTCATGTTATAGATCCTGGTATACGACAGTTATCTTTTCTGTCCTCTGGGTATAACACGCCAAAGTGACTCTCGGGATACTCTGGTCATAAAACGTTGTCTTCTTGTGATCTGATTACTTTTTGGTAGTTCAGGAGTCAATTAATTTTGTCTCTCTAGAATTTTTGAATTTACATGGAAGTAGTAAAGTGAGATTTTAAAGCTGCAATAACATAGGGATATATGTATATAATTGAGTGCCTTCAAATCACATCAACTTATGGTGGCTTCATGCATCTTAAAGGGTTTTCTTAGGTAGTAGATCTGATGAAATGAATCAGTTGTGTCTTGGATCTTAGCCCAGGTAGAGTTATATTTCTAAATTAGGAGTATAAATCTTCACTTGTTTTATTTTTGAATGCAGAAAAAATAATTTCAGCATTTTCTGATCATTTTGAAAATATGAGGATTTCAGTGCAGTGTTCATGAACTACTTATCCTTTCAAAATAACTGAGGAAAGCCCATTTGCACAAAATTAACATATGATTTCCCTATGCTGAAAACATACTATTCATGTATATATGAATTTCATGTATAAGTCAAGGGCAGGTTTTGGAATCAAAATTATGGATATTGGTTTTTTAGATGTGATTAAGCTATCTAACACATCAAGGGTGCGTGTGAGAGAGTGTCAGAGATGATGGCCCATATATAGACACCAGAATATCACAATAGTAATATTGGCACAATGCATCCACAGAAAATTGTCAAGCAACCTTTGTTTATTTGTTCAGTCTCTTCCGACTCTTTGTGACCTCATGGACCAGCCTATGCCAGAGCTCCCTGTCGGCAGTGGCCAGCCCCAGTTCCTTCAAAGTCAAGCCAGTCACACCAAGGGCACCATCCATCCATCTTGCCCTTGGTCAAGCAGCCTAAAACATCAAAAAGAAGAAGAAAATCCATATGCAAATCATTTTTCTATTAAAATTATTTTCAAATAGTGATAATTTCATCATGTTACTTTAGTATGAACATATTCTATGGATAAAATTGTAACTGAAAAAGATATTATATACTAAGCTAGCCTGACAACAGGGATGGCTCCTTTTTTCTGCAATGAACAGGTCCTAAGGCAGTCCATCCAAAGAAGTTTCAAATAAATTGATTCCAGGTTACTAAAAAATGTGTTTCTGATTTAGTCTGCACTTGCCAGTTATTTGTATGATTTAGAAGACATGCTTTACAATATGAATTCAAGTATAGCTAAATAATATGACGGCTGAAACATTTTCTGCAAAAAAAGGCACTGTAAAGACTCCATATACATTTTCTAATACAAATATTCAATGTAAAATATTTAGCTGGTGTGAAGTCTTGGCCTAGTTTTCACTCCTGTTCATTTCCCTGTTTGCTTTCTTTAGGGTGGGCTGTTCCATTTTGCTGAGTTTTAGGGGAGGAGCTTAGGATCCCCCTAGAGGCCTAGCTCTGTTGGTTTAGCCCTGTTGGTTCAGAGCTTGGTGGAAAGACTTTTTCCCCTCATTCTTTCTTTGGCAGAGCTTTTAGTAGTTGAGCCAGAAAGTGTCTGGTCTGGCTTGGCAATCTGAAACAGGAATCCTAAACACGTATATGGCTCATAGACTTAACCCTGAGAGTCTATAGCTGTACATGTCATAGATCAGAGCTGTACATGCCATAGATTACATCTTGTACATGCCTCAAAGACCAGAGATCAGAGTAGAATTTGCCTTAGAGATTAGAGTGACACTTTCCTCAGTTACCATAGCCTGTGTTTACCATAATAGAGAGTACTTACCTCATAGAATATAGTCTTGTTCTTTACCTCAGAGCACATACCATCTTTATAACTCATAGTCTCCTGATATCTATATTTACCTCAGAGTTTATACCTTATATCTGTACTTCATCATTCTAATCCTGTATCATTGTAGCAATCAAATTGTGCCTTTGTACTACTTTGTTTTGATTCACCTTTATTAAGCTCTAACAGAAGTTCTCTTTGCTTTGTGTAGTAAACTTATTTGGTTAAATTTAATCTCGTCTCCAGAGTCTTATTTTAAAGAATTAAAGCACATTTAGGGCATACCGATGGCCACTGGGAAAATAGCCAGACATGCGCATAGTTTTCTTTCAATTCCTGGGGTGCAATCACAGCTGTACTGATTTCACCTAGGCACACCCAGCAATATTTTGTCAAGCAATGTAGATACATTCAGGGTAATCATTTGGAACCAATATGTCCTCGTATCTAATAGCCTCTGGACACCAGCAAAGCTATCCATTGGCAAACAACCCAGAAGCAATATTGGCTCCAATTGGCCTAGGCTCAAATTTAGACCAATTAACAAGAGAGCTATTTTAAAAAGGATTCAAAGCTATTAATTAATTTTATCAACTCTGGAAAGAAAGATTATGTCCTATAAATAAACAGAAAGAGAAAATAAGTGTACAACATGCCTCTAATTCATATTTTTCTATATATAAACCTAGATTCTACCTAATCATATATACCAATCATTTGCAACATAAGGCAGATATCAAAGGAGAAAAGAGAAATCACTTTTGTCTATATGTGGAAAAAAAACTCTTCAGACATTATCTCATTTGTAAGCATGCTTGACCTATGAAACAGATAAAATAATCTAAACCTATTCCAAGAGTTGTGTTAAGAACCCAGTTAATTTTGTCAAAGTTTTTTTTAGTATCAAGTAGTTAGATCTTCCTGTATTTTAAGCAAACACATTTGCAACTATTTCCGCGATTTCTTGCTTATGACAAATAAAACCTACAAGATTGTTATTGTTATTGTTTGTGAAGCCTTGTAGCCTTGTAACCAAAATTGGCATCAGAGTTTAATAAACAGCTTGGTCTATAGTTTGTACATCTGATAGGATTTACTTCTGGATGTGGAACAATAGAAATAGAAGTTTCATAAAAACATAAATTTGAAATAATAATAATAATAATAATAATAATAATAATAATAATAATACTTTATTTATACCCTGCCACCATCTCCCCAAGGGGACTCGGGGTGGCTTACATAAGGCCACGCCCATCAATACAGTAAAACAATGTAACACAAGAACACAATAGAAAATAAAAAACTAAAATAACATAAGATGGAAAAACCAATACAAATAAACAGCACAACAATATAAAATCAGAACATTAAAACACTGAAATAATCACAGTGGGCAGAGCCAATGCAAAGATTAAAATTTAATTTTTTAAAAAAACACTGGGTGATAGGGCAATGTAATGTATCAGGACAGGGGATCCGGGGGATAAGGTAGGATTTAATTGCATAGACCAGAAAATAAAGTGCTTCTGAGGACATTTTAAGCAGAGTTTGGTCAGAAATTATCTTACATTCAATCATTGAAGGCACACTGGAATCATCCAAGTTTTCAGGCTCCTCCTAAAGACTGCCAGGGTGGGGGCTTGCCTAATATCTCTGAGAAGTGAATTCCAGAGCCGAGGGGCAACTAAAGAGAAGGCCCTCTCCCTCATCCCCACTAGTCATGCTTGCAATAGGGGCAGGAGCGAGAGAAGGACCTCCCCGGAAGATCGAAGAGATCATGTAGGTTCATAGACGGAAATACGGTCGTGCATTAGGTGGGTTCCAAACCGTTCAGGGCTTTGTAAGTAAGAACCTGCACCTTGAATTGGGACAGAAAAAGACAGAAAATGTGGGAATAAGTATGTCTGAGTATGTTTTGCAAGATTTTATAACAGCTTAAATACAATACAACTTTCCATACTCAATACTTATGGTTTTGATTACCCCTACTGGAGGCCTGGAAGCCTACAGAAGGAAATGTTTGTTGGCATCTGTAGGTCCTCCAGTGCTATTTTGTGATATGCTTCTGGCCCTAGTACAGTCAATTATAGAGTTTGCTATTATCTGCAATTTTAGGGATCCTCAAAGAAGAGGGGATGTTTTAGAATACATCCCATGCAGAAGTTGGAGTTATATTGTAGTACTTTATAAATACTTGCTGGAAAGCATTAGATAATGTTAACAAAGTTAGATTTAACTGAAGCAAAAAGTTTGATTATCCCATGCAAGTTAATAGATGTATGTCTAGAAATTTTAGCCCGAAACCTGGGTCAAATTCTCCATGGGTCAATATATGTATTATACTGTAAGTAAAGGAACCATTTCCTTTTCTCAGTAGAGTGGTCAAAGGTGAGAGGTAAGTTATTTCTAGAGGGAAGTACCAACCCTTTCCACTCTTCCCACTGTGACACCAATTTTGGTCTTCCAGAATAACTGGGTGGAAAAATGCTAACTTTCTCCTCTTGGCAGAATGAGCCTTGACTTATCCACAGGTTATATCAAAATATATAATTTTGACCCCCAAACCTACCCTTGTCTTATACATAAGGTAAATGTAAGCATGAGTATACACCAAAGAAAAACTTTCCTAGCTACAATGATTAAAACCAACATTTGGTCCAGTTAAAAACTGATATTTTAAGTAAACTGAATATAAGAATGATGCCATCAGTTTGAACTAAATGTTGGCAATATAGCACTGGCAATGCTTCTTTGTGATGGTTTAGATATGTTCCATTGGTACTCCTTTTTGGTTGGACATGTTACTTGTCTATTAGAATATTGCTTTTTGTGGATGCACATGTTCTTTTAAATTAAATTTCTGTGACATAGAGTTTAACTGAGGCTTAACTTTGGTGAATTATTTCTGCTTTTACTGCTGCAAAAAAGACTTATTTTTCAAGCTTGAGAAGGTAAACATTCATCATTTATTATTCATTGGTCAGGAGATGTGCTACTGACACCTGAACATGCATTTCATAAATGCCAACTTTAAGGAAACGTATTTTTTGAAATACAGACAGATTATAACAATGTATATGTAGCACTTTTATCTATCTTAGGTTTTGCCACTAGCTTTCCCCCATATTTTTCTTATTATTTCCTGTTTCCTTCCATTGTAAGCATACTTACAAAACCCAAAGCTATTCATTAAAAGGAAAGCACAGTTTAATGCAAAATGCATGGATTCCTGTTGAAAATACTAGTTATTTTGCATTTAAATTACATGTAGGGAAGTTACATGTGTTTTCTTTGTGCAAACTAAGGACGTCATCACACTAGAGAATGAATCCACTTAAAATACGGTTTCTTCCTCCTGCAGAATTGTGGGGTTTGTAGTTTTGTAAGGCTGTTAAAGGCTCCTCCCTAAACTACAAACACTAAAATTCTGCAGGAGGAAGAAACCGGATTTAAACTGGATTCTTTCTCTAGTGTGATGAGGTAGTAAGTAAAACTTTAAACTATTTGTGAAAAAACAAAGATGCCAGTACAGAAAAACATACCTAAGTTCTCTGCATGTATTTTATGTGTCAACAAATACATAATAAAGCACATAGCTATGTATATTTTGTACCAGATACTCATTTCAACTCATAAAGCATATGTTTTTCTCTGTAAGAAAAGCATGGGTACTTTTGTGCATATGTTTTCCCCAGTGGTGTCTCAAAGAGGAAAGAATATTACAACTGGTTTCTGTTTCCTTGGTTGTGACTTAGGCATCAAGACATCCCTTCATCACTAAGGATACATTCCATATTTACATCTCTGTTCTAAAATAAAAAGACACACAGACACATAGATCTTTATTTTATTTACTTATCTACATATTCATGTGCAGCCCACAATCCCAAGACCTCAAGATGATGAGACATGTGCATATAATAAGATCTGCAAGATCTATATAAATAAAAATGTAATGTTCATTTGTGGGATTAACATAACTCAAAAACCACTGGACGAATTGCCACCAAATTTGGCCACAAGACACCTACTAACCCAAGGAGTGGCCATCATTCAAAAATCATTTTGTCATTTGGGATTTGTAGTTGCTGGGATTGATAGTTAACCTAC